TTTGTCTCGCTCGTACGAAAATGCCAAGCGGAAAAAAGCGCATAATTAATAACATATTTGTCTTTTGCATATGTATCGTGCGGTAAACAACAAAGAGCACCGTTCATTTGAACGGTCCGAATTTTATGTAATACCAATAAAAGGTGTAAATATCTACGCTGTCTAAAAAACCCAGCAAAAAGAATACGGTTTATTTGTTTGAAACAAATGAAAAACACTTTACTCGCGTTTGACAGTGTCAAGTGAATGCAATCATAGTAGTTTTTTCTTGGTTTTTGTTCGACTACATGAATACGAACCGAGTAGGTTTCATTGAGCATTGACTCGATTGCTTGTGTGTGGTTTTCTTTATTTTGGCACTTTTGTGGTCGGAGAATATAATCTTCGAGTATTAAAAATAGTAACAAATTCACCCGTCCAAAGTCATTTATTTCCAGCAAATTAACAGTTACACGTGTGTGTATGTGTGCGATTCAATTGAATTGGTAACGCTGGAGCGAATTTTGTGACACTTTTCGATTGAAAACTCTTTTACTCAACATCGTGGCTCAATGTTAACAGGCATGCACGATCATATTTCACATTTGAAATTCCCAATAGCGGTTTTTCGATGCTGTTTATTTCTGTTTCATTTTTATTTTTATTATGACAACATTCGTGGTTTGATACCAAAAATACCATCGCCCAATTACATATACGCCCTGCATGCAATGAATTCTCTGTTTGCATTTCGATTGCTTAAGCAACCGAAAGCAGCAAGAAAAATGAAGAAAAAGACGATGAAAAAAAAAAGAAGTTGGACGCAAAATATGGCTGCCAGAAAGTATTTTGCAATGTGAATTATGTGGAAAAGAGAAAAAACCGCGACAATTTACGATTTCCTTGCTGAAACAGAGAGAAAAAGATAAACACACACACATATGCAGAGAGGCCAGTTGAAATTCAGTTGGGGCATATATGAAATGCTGTGTAACTTGTGAAGTGCTTCTCTTCTTCAGATCAGTTTCGTTTTGCCGCATTACCATAATAAGTGAAGATCCATTGTTATGCTATTCATCGATCTGTGAACAATATCGCAATTCAAAATTCAGGCATACGTACATGCCGAATGGCTGTGTTGATTTCAAGTAGTCGTCATGTGACTTCGATTAATATGCGGTTATTTTGTTGTTGCTGTTGCTGTTGCGCTGCGATTCTTTCAGCACCCAGCAAACAATCAGTACACCTAAAATAGACACACATTTATTTTGGTTTGCGTTCAAGATATGGAAAAGGCGACGAACGTATATATGAAGAAAAAAAAGTCTGATCGGCTTAATTCTGATGGCCTGCGAATCTAAGCAGGCGAGACCGAATGTCAGTAAAGCATTTCGAATTTTTAACCTGAAAATTGGACGAATGGCATTGGTGTGCTTTACAAGCATTGCTTGTCAAACAACTCTTAAAATGTGAGTGCATTTGAAAAAAAAGCACCATATTTTCTCTCTGTTTCTTTGTCTCTCTCTCTCTCTAGATCCTAGATAGATCTCCCCCTCCTTCTTCATGGCTCTTTATCTGTTTCCAACAATCCAAACGGTATTCAAAGCGGTCTAGTTCAACGCAAGCCAACAAATTTACTTGTCATTCCATCAAGTGGCCGTTGAACTAATGTGTATGAACGGCCTTCGATTGTTCACCATGATTTCTTAATGAATTTATTTTCAAGTCAAAAAGATTCGAAAAAAAATGTATCAATCAATCGTTACAACAACTCGGAATCCGTGGTTTCATGTTAAAAAAAAAACCAAACGCATTTATTTATTCGTTCTTGAACAACCGAATTAAGTTGAATCGTTAAAAAAACTCATCCAAAGATTTACCGATTCCATGAAATTAACACTATATGTTAAACCGAAGGCATTTTTATTCGACGATTAACGAAAAAATAAAATGTTTTTTATTTCATTCATGTTCAAATCTAAATTTTGAGGCAATCACTCACTTTTGCATGAGTGTATTTAGTCCACACTTCTCTGAGTGAAGTGATGGGAAAAAGAGCAATGGCTAAACGCTTCAAATTTATGTATATGTGCTACACGTGAACAAGAGCAATAACAACAGAGAAAAAACACACAAAAAATAAACGGTTTTCACATGCAAGCCGTGTGTTTTTGAAATGATTTTGTCCGTGAATGACATTGTTGTCGTACTTATGTTTCGCCTAATTTTTTTGTCGTGTGTATGTGCGCGCGCGACCGCGTCGTCTCAAGCCAATTCATTTAAGTCTTGCCCAAAAATGAACCGTAAATTATTTCGTTGGAAAATAAATGACGTAGTCATGCTTATGACTCAATAACACGACGCTCAAAGTGAAGACGAGTAATTGAAAATTGCAAATATTAGGCCATGAATTGGATCACATGGTTTTTTTTTCTTTCATGCGTATGCGTGTGCGTATGCCGTGGGTACACAAAAACATCAATCTAAAAACCTTGCCAAAAGCAATCTGATCGTTTTGTTTTTTTTTCGCTGTTCAGCTTGGAACAACCGTTTCGACCGAAGCTGGTCGTTCAATGTTGGTCAAAATGGTTGAACTCTCGATATCATTCCATAAACGATCAAACGCAACATTCCATTCGTCTATATATAGGAAAAACGCAATGGAATTGTTTATTTTTAAAATGCGAATGGCATTTGAAAGCATTCATTTGTTTCCTCTTTGTGCGTCGACTGTTTCCATTATTCTTTTTCATTTGTTTTTTTGTTTTTGTTTTTGTCGAAGTCTCCGTTAATTGGATTTGTCGCATCAACCAGTTGTGTGTTTAGATACGTACGCGATGACTTGTTTTTATTGACAAATGTGTTTGTTTCACCATTCATGTCTCGGTGTTGACTAATTGTAACTAGTTTATCACACATCGTCACGTACTTTGCGTTGCATTTTCATTGCGAACGACACATTGTCGTCGTCGTCGTTGTTGGTTGGTGTTGAGACGACGATGGTGAACGGCGGCATCAAAATCAAATCAAATGGCGTCGATGATTGGCCATAACACGATAGAAAGCTTATCAAACTCGGTGTTATTAATTGAGAGTAGAGCCACGCTCGATTTTATTGTAGTTGACTTTGATTTGTTTTTCTTTCTTTTATCCATTTCTACAGTCGGACATTTGTAGATTAAGAGAATGTGACGAGAATGGCGCGCAAATTATCCGGTTAAATAAAATATGGAACATCGTATCACACAACTGCTGTGTGTGTGTGCGTTTGTTTGTTTGCGATGGTGTTGTGATACGATCACAAAAGTTGTGGCAACAAGCATTTTCAATCTCATTTCTGCTGAATGTGAAATCGACACAAAGGCTTTTCCAAAAACAAACACATTCAGGCTCCGGCACACATCTATTTATTTTCCATCGAGATTAATAACCATTTCCATGGAATGGGTGTTTGTTTTTGTCGAAGTTCTTCGATAGCATAACGATGAAATGAATGAAGCAACAAAAAAGGGAGCAGAAACAATGCGCAGAAATGTTTGCATTTTTATAATTGCAGCGCTGTAATATGAGCGAGCGCCTTTGATCAAACGATCTTTTATAATATTGTTGCAATCACGCAAAAGCCCGCTCGCTCTCTCTCTCTCTTTCTATTCGGATGTCACGCGACAAACGTTTTCACCGCTTTCTTTCTCGCCGAATTCGATCGGCCGACGGATAGATTGCAATTGCCGTGTGCGGTTGTGTACACACGCTCAAACAGACATTTGTTCGTCTCTTTTCAATTAATATTGTTTCTCGGTTCGAATTCATCTTCATGTCGGCAATTGCCAAGGCGATTGCTTACAGTGTACACAAAAAGCGAACTAACACGTGAAATCAATCACATTGCAATCGAACGGTAACACTAAGCGGAGATATGTCTTAATTTCACCCGAGCAAAACGGAACTGTCCAAACATACAGTTTATGTATCCAAAAGCGAAACTATCTTTAATTCAACGTCTCAGACAAAAAAAAACCCATGCATGTATTTGTAGCTCTTTTCTTTGTTTCATTTTACAATCATTCATTTATTGTTAATTTTGGCATTTTCAATTTTCGGTTTCCAAATCGGTTAATCATCTAAAACAACACCCGTGTAATTATTTACACAGCGAAAGGCTGTGGCCAAAAGTAGCGTGCATTTGTTTTCTCACAACAACAATAAAAAGTACATAATATATTGGTCAAAGAACATGGCTCAGAATTCGAATACATTTTTTTTTCGTCCAAACGTGCGCACACGCTTTCGTAAATGTGTGTGAAGGGAAATGAAAAAAAAAGCGAGAAAAAAACAAAAAACAAAACAATGCGAACAACATTGTTGGAGTAAAAGGCATGTCTTTATTGCGTTAAGCAAGAACTGTGCGATGGAAAAAAAAGAGCAGCCAAAGAAGCAACAACGGTGTAAATGATGATATGCGGAATGTAAGCGATGTTGACTGTCGAAATGCGATGCATTCAATCGTAACGGTGAGCTGCTTCGCTTTGCATTGCATGAAAAGCAGAAAAAAACCGAATCGGTTTTATCTGCCATTGAAATCGGGTAATGGAATGAAAAATGTACGAAAAACCACACTCTTATGTGTGTTAATTGGCATCTTCGTTTAATCTAGATATGTCCGAGGTTGGTTTGCTTCTGCTACGGCTGCCACCTTTTAAACTCGAATCCAAACTGGAAAAAAATCTATGCTTTACCATTTGGGCTTCGGGTATGATCGAGCGGAAAACCAGCCAAAATATTCATAAAATATATATATATGTGTTTTTGTAACCTCGAACAATATGATGGTTATAACAATACATTTAACGGAACTGCTGATGTAGAAACATTTAGGTTAACGCTACCAAGATCAAATCACACGGCAAAAAAAAACCCACCGTCCATTGTTCTTGTGATACACATTTATTTTCGCAGCCACATTTATCGTTTATCTTGTAACTGATTTGTATTTTTTTTTCTGTGGAATTTTCTTTTTACAGAGGGTCGAGTCGAGGTGTCACGTGAAGGTAAATATCTATCAACATTGTCCGGTGCAAAGGTACTCGGCGAATTGGCCATTCTCTACAATTGCCAACGGACCGCAACCATAACGGCAAACACCGATTGTAAATTATGGGCAATAGAACGACAATGCTTCCAAACAATTATGATGCGTACCGGTCTCATTCGACAGGCCGAATACACCGAATTTTTGCGAAGGTAAGTGCGGATGTAGGTTTTAAGTTTTTACGAGAAAATTACGGTTCTGTTTCCGAAAAGAAAAATTCGGAGAAAATTGATGTCTTTTCACTTTGTGACTGATCTTCGTTTACGATTATGCATAATTTACGAGCTAATCTTCATTTACAACGATTCATAAATTGATCAATCATGAATGATGACCATTGGTTGATTCGTAAAATGTGCCTTCCGTGACAATGCTCAATTAACGGTTGTCACATCGAACGAAAATCGGCATGGAATGAAAGTGAAATTGAAAAACTGTCAATTAAATCATCACTTCGTGCACACGCCACACATAAACATTACTTCGAACAACACCGAAAAGAATGAGTCGACTGAGTCGAATTGCATTCGAATACGATGGTTAAAATTGCAAACAATGAAATTGAAAGTTTCGTTCGCATTCACATTCTCATGCAACATATGGAAAACAGGATAATTTCTTTCATTTTTCTCCAACGTCTTTTTTTCGTCTTGCGTTTCAAAACCACAAAAAACATGCATTGTTCAAATGATTTGGTTTTTGTAGCAATAATTGTTGTTGTATTGCCGAACGTTTTTTCTTTCCAATTTCTCATAAATGCATTGTTCATTCGTTGAATCGTCGGAATTGCGCAAAGTAACAGTTTTTTTTATGATTTTGAACATTTTTATTTCTCACTTAATTAACAAATTCGCTTCGGCTGTTCTAGAAAAGAATCGACGCCATAAAATTCGATAATAATAAATAATTGATTCACACTTCATTTACAGCCATTTCCAGTGATCTATTTCCTATATGGGCATACAAAGCATTATAGACTCGATTGATGAGTACATATTTGTGCATTGAGATCTGAATAGATACGGCTGTAAAAAAGATAGTAATAGCTATGGCTTTACGATCAGTAATAAACGGCACATGTCGATTTCTTCGGGCAACAACAAGCAAATTGGATTTGCATGGGCTCAATAAGAAAAATCAATTGCTTTGTCGATTTTATACACATGACTTATTACGAGGCGTATTGAAAGAAACACCATTGCGCTTTTGGACAGCCGAAGTCTACATCGTCTTCAGCGTGTAGCATTTGCTATTGTTGGCCCGCAAGCTCCATGCTAATAATAAGAAGAAAGGAAGAGAAAAATGACCAAACATTTTTCTCTCGGCGATTCGTCTTTTCTCAATCTCTCTCGCTCTCTCTCTCTCTTCCTCTTCCTCTTCCCCTGTCGCGCTCTCGATTGGTCGAGTTGTATTTGGCGTGTGTGTTTTATTTTCTGTCGCCGTCGTCGTTTCGATCGTGTTTTACATCGATGGGCGAAATAAAGAGAACACAAACGCACCCAACACAGGAAACTTTCTCTTTTTTCACAACTTATTTCTTCTCTCTCTCTCTCTTTCTCTCTCCGCTTATTTCGTTGACCCCTTTTTAATTGCATCGAACTTATGCACATGAGGAAAAAAACACACACACACCGTTCGGGAAAAGAAGTCAATATAAAAAAGCCAACCGCTACATATAGATAACCGTATCTATGTCGCGCAGTTGGTCGCGATGGGCAAAAAAAAACATTCGAAAGAGTCGAGAGTAAACATTGACAGTCAGCTAATTACCTGCTAAATATGCTTGCCATTTAATTGTGCGGTTCCGAAAGGTAGAGACAGAAAAAAAACGAGCGATTGCAACAAGATAAACTGTGATAAAAACATGCCAACTATTCGAAATGAAGAGTTCCATGCTGCGCACACCACAAATAAACAACAAACACCCAATGAATAGTGTGAATCAAATGTGGTAAATCAATTAATATTGCAAAAGGTTGGAAAAGTTAGAAAATATGTATTCATCTTTCAAAGTAAACAATTGAATATTTTAGCACCGCAAAACAGGCACAACTCTTGCAATATCATTGCTGTGTGTTTTTTCTGTGCTGCGTTGGTGAAGCGGAAAGCTTTTGGCACACTGTTTCTACAAAATGCCATCCATTTGGAGAATTCGTTTCGCACAATTTAATTCACAAGTTTTTTTGTTGCTCTTAGTTTTCTCATTTTGCTTTCTTTGCACAATTCTATGTATATTGGATTCTGATATATCGAAATTTGCCGGTAAAACTGTGTTCAGTCACAGGAAATGAAATTGAATTCGATTTACATAATTTAGCGATATAACGAGAGGTGATTTGTGCAAGTTTTAACCATCCATTTCTGTGTTTTTCTTGCAGCGTACCGATTTTCAAGAGTTTCCCAGAAGAAACTCTCATCAAGATTTCCGACGTCTTAGAAGAAACGCATTACAATCAAGGCGATTACATTGTAAGTTAAAGTGTTTTTTCTTTACGCAATTGTTGATCTCGTTTTTTTACGAGATGCTTTTTGATTGAATAAACACCGTTTAATTTTGCTTCTTTCCTGGTATAGGTTCGGCAAGGTGCTCGTGGAGATACATTCTTCATCATTTCGAAAGGCACGGTTCGCGTTACGATCCGTCAGCCCAACTCGCAGGAAGAGAAATTCATTCGGATTTTGGGCAAAGGTGACTTCTTCGGCGAAAAGGCATTGCAAGGGTAAGCAAATTGATACTGTTTTCATTTTTTCCATTCCCAAATGAATAAATGTTCAATTTTTTTTCGTCCAAATTCGGCGAATGGCATTCATAATTCATTAAAATTTCATATTTATTCAATTGAAATCAAATTCAAATTCACGATTTAATCAATTTTATTCATTTCAAATGTCTACAGTGATGATCTGCGTACGGCAAATATCATTTGCGATTGTGAGGATGGTGTAACATGTTTGGTCATCGATCGCGAAACATTCAAGCAACTGATTTCGAATCTAGATGAAATTCGCAACAAATACAATGATGAGAGCTCATTGGAACGCAAAAGGTAGGTTTAGTTCTTTGTTTGCATTAACCATTTACCTAATATGGCAATTTTATATAATCGAATACTTTTCATGCGTTCATTTTGAGAAGTATTGGTGGGTATAATAGATTAAGGATTGTTCTTTATCCGATTTTTTTTCCATTTATCGATTACGTACTAATTTTTGTCTCACTTTTTGTAGAATCAACGAAGAGTTCCGTGATGTTCAGTTGTCCGATTTGCGTGTACTTTCAACGCTTGGCGTTGGTGGATTCGGTCGCGTTGAATTGGTACAACTTCATTCGGACAATTCACGCTCGTTCGCACTGAAACAAATGAAGAAGGCACAAATCGTTGAGACACGCCAACAGCAGCACATTATGTCCGAAAAGGATATCATGTACGAGGCCAACTGCAGCTTCATCGTCAAATTATTCAAAACGTTCAAGGATCGCAAATATTTGTACATGTTGATGGAAAGTTGCCTTGGTGGCGAACTTTGGACCATTTTGCGTGATAAAGGCCATTTCGATGATTCGACCACACGTTTCTATACGGCCTGCGTTGTTGAAGCATTTGACTATTTACATTCGAGAAATATCATTTATCGGTGAGTTTCGGTTTTATTCGATTCTACAATTTGAAACTGTGCAACTGGGAAAATTGACTGCAAAATCGGATCAAACATCAAATTTAGACGTATGAAGCGAAGATAAAATAAATTCTTCTCATTTCCGTTGCAGTGACTTAAAACCGGAGAATCTTTTGCTCGATATTAATGGTTATGTGAAGTTAGTCGACTTTGGATTCGCTAAGAAGCTTCAAACCAGTCGAAAGACATGGACATTCTGCGGCACACCTGAATACGTGGCTCCAGAAATTATCTTGAATCGAGGACACGACATCAGTGCTGACTATTGGTCGTTAGGTGTTTTGATGTTCGAATTGCTTACAGGTAACTATCGGAAAACACTGTAGATAAACATTGACACTGATTTTCTGACACATTTTTTTTTCATTCTAAAGGTACGCCACCATTTACTGGAGCCGACCCAATGCGAACATACAATATAATTTTGAAAGGAATCGATGCCATTGAATTCCCACGTAATATCACACGTAATGCAACCGCTTTAATTAAGAAACTGTGCCGAGACAATCCTACCGAACGTTTGGGCTATCAACGTGGCGGAATCGGTGAAATTCGAAAGCATAAGTAAGCATTTTGTTCTTTTTAAATATTCGATACAAAATTGTCCCCTTTTGACTTTCTGTTCAAAAGGAAAATCGAAGAAAATTCTTACTAAAAAAAACTTCTTTTCATTGTTCTCCATTGGTCAGGTGGTTCGATGGTTTCTACTGGGAAGGATTAGTGAATCGTACTTTGACACCTCCGATTATGCCAACTGTGAACAGTGCCATAGATACAACGAATTTCGATGACTATCCTCCAGATCCAGATGGACCACCACCAGATGATGAATCCGGATGGGATAAAGATTTCTAAGCCAAACTTACTATTTGCATTGAATCCAAACAAAATAAGAAAAATACGGCAACTTAAGAAATTCGAAGAAAATTCAATGCAAAATCTGGCCTAGATTTAAAAATTGCCAATAGCAAATATAGCCCATTTTTAAACATGTTTTTAAGTCATTTTGTCGCAACATTGGATTTCTACTAAACAATGAAAGTTCAAAGAAATGTCAGTTTTTTGTTTGTATTCAAAATATTCGGTCATGTATAAAATGAATATGCGATGCAACAAATTTGCCTGCGGTAGATTTTTTTTGAAGAAGAAGACGAAAAAAAAGAAGAAAAACATTGAAGATGAAAATAAATTGAATTGTTCATTATTATTTACTTTTAAAACGCTAGATTAGTCATGATTGTAACTATAATATTAATAAGTTTAATTATGTTTTAATTCATGATTTTCCTTTTTTGTAAAATTTTATGAAATTTCGATGATGAATATTGCAATTTGAAATTTTCACTCCGTTTATTTCCAATTTCATTTTGAAACAACAACTCTTTAACTAATTATTATAAATAAATACAAAAACAATACAACTTTTATTCTACGCCATGCGGTTTTATTTATTTCCTTGGTTTACACTATTCCGATAACAGATTGACACGCTTATTAGCCTGCGAAGAGTATTTTTCCAATCGTTTTTATTTCATTTTAATTCATTGAATAAACGATTTGAAGAATTGAGTGAAGCGTCTGGAATATTTTCGTTGGCAACTCCACAGGCGTAGCTTTAGTTTGTGATCGCTGACAACAGAGGGTGCTTCTTTACATTCAATTTTTACTTTTCAGTTAGCAGGTGATTTGTTTGGAATAACATTTTGAGCACTTGACTTATTTTATTACACAATGAAAAACAAATAGATTGAACATTGAACACAAAAGTGAAGCACAAGTGCGCTGCTATTTTACTGACATATATGTTTCTTTTTTCTGCAATATTCCAATTTTTAGTCATTTCAGACGGAGGCGCGTTGCAAATTACGTAAACATTCGTAGCTGTTTCTAAGCTTGTGCTGAACATGAGATTATAAAGAGATTTACGATAAAGGGTAATTTTTCAAGCACTTTCTTCTATTTCTCTGCATAAGTGAGTCACTAAATGAAGATTGAATGGCTTTGTTTCCATGAGCTCTGCAAACAAACGCATAAATGTTATTTATTTTGATAAATCAAAAACAGCTTTTTACAACAACTTCCGATAAAAACGAAATTCACATTATTTTCACGAAGGATATCTTATCAGATGCGACTGAGTGGTAACTACCGTTGCTAATTCCATCGCACATGACAGAATTCGTGGAATTGAACAATTGAATAGCTAATTCCTGTGCTTTACTACGTATTTTTTTGCCCCTTGTCGTTCGAGGAATTTCATCTACAAAATAGACACCCCCACGTAGTTTAGAATTATCTGGGAAACGATCTGTGGATGAAAATGGAATCGTTGAACATTCAATATAATGATTGTTTCAATTGGAATTACAATGATTACTTCAGTGAATAAATTACTTATAAGCTATTGATTCCAAGTAATTTAATCGAAATCACAAATTTCATAAATCTTGAATCATGATTAATCTTTAGAAATAAACAAAATAAAAATTACCTGCAACCAATTTATAAATCTCCTCTTCTCATATCTGCCATTTAGCTGAACGCACAATAAGAGCGGCTGGTAAGTCCACTGCTAAATCATCAGGTATGCCGGTTACACACGCAGTTTTTATTGCGTGTGAATAAATCAAGAAAGCTTCAACTTCAAACGATGAAAATTTACGACTGCAGTACTTCTTTTAGTACAGTAAATTCTTTTCTCTACCAACGATACAAATATTCCCATCTTTGTCTACGTGGCCAATGTCTCCAGTTGAGAAAAAGCCTTCACCTTAAATTTGTTGGGGCCTTCAATACAAATTTCGCCATCCGTATCAATGCCACATCGTTTGCCATTTATGCAGTAGCTACCAGCCAGCTGGCCAATAGTGTCTTTGCCACTTTTCGGCCAATCTAGCGATACCACTCCCATTTCTGACAAACTATATCCAACTACAGCCATTCCATTCGGCAAATAAGAATTGTATTCATTCAATGCGCCGAATGGAACTCTATTATCACCAATCAATTGGAGTCTAATGCTTGATAAGTCGTTTTAGTCATTAGGCCGCTCTTCAAAGCACGTAGCACCGATGTACGTTGCCCATTATGAGCAAACTGCTTATCCAATCAATTGAATTCATGCTGAGCAAAATGTCGTTAGGTTCTGTTGCACCAAATGTGATAATGCTTGAAATTAAGTTGGCATGAGACAAAAGAACTCCTTTTGATGGACTTATTGTCCCCGATGAGGCCATTTTGATAGCAGCATCTTTGTCTGCGTCAACTCCAACCGTTCTAGAATATGGCGTAATTCTTATTCAGTTGAAAATTTTGGAAAGGATGACAAAATCAACTCACAACAAATTTTCTTCCGTTCCTGTTTCTTCAAACAAATTTTCCACTGGTTCTGAGTCACCTTTCACGCTATTTAATGTGAAAATGGTTGCTTGATGATTTGCTTCTTTGAGACACTCGTCAAGCACATCATACAATTCAATATCGCAGAAAAAGAGATTTGGTCGTGTCATTTGAAGCATGCGAATGATGTCCGCCTTTCCATGCGAAGCATTCCACATATCTGCCATGGCGCCCAGGCGAAATGAAGCAAACATCAGTGACGTCAAATAATCGGAATTCTTTGCCAGAAATGCAAACACTTGTTTTGATCCATAACCACGCTACTGAAGATTTTGTGCGGCTCGAATGGTTTTTTAACGAAGCTCATCGTACGTGAACGATCTTCCCGAATCAGCACTTATCTAAGATAAGCAAACAGTTTCATTCACATTGTACACAAACTACACTAATCCATTTATACTTGTGCGATCCGCGACCCATTTGTTTTCATTGTTCTCAACAGCACTTGAGCAATCGAAGTATTTGGGTCGTATAGCTGTGGAACATCACGACCACTCCATAATTTGGCATTTTCGTCGAACTTTGTACAAAACATGATGAAAAAAAACTGTTTTATGAAGAAATATCCAATGTTTGAAGATTATCTCTTGAAAAAATTCCCAAATCACAAAGCAATTACTGAAATAAAGGCCTTTGGAAGAAAAAATGAATGTGCTATCAATAGACTTTCAAAAAGAATTCTTGAACTTGCTAAAGTTGTATCTCCTTTCGTATTCACATCGAAACTGACGTAGAGCATCGATGAATTTCGGTTATTTAAATGCGAAATGGCCAATTTGAAATCCACAAAAATAGATTGTTTTCAAATGTGTTTATAAATATAGAATCTATATTATAGATGGATAAAAATAATTCAGAACAGTGTAAATCTGAATAAAAAACGATTTCAGTGTGCAAAAAAAACGCGTTGAATACGAACCACGTCTAATAATACGTGTGGGGCATAACGTATGATCATGAATTAGATGCGTTCGAATTGACCTCGTATGAGTGTGGTCATTCAAGAATATTTCAAAGTGGCTTATGCTTTGTAATAAATTTGTCGTTTTCAATAAAATTCCGAAGGGACATGAAGAAAGGAAAATCCCCATAAGAGAAAGAAAACATATTTTGCAAAATGAGTGTCAACTATTCGATGAATGTTTGTTAATGATATGCTATCAGCCAATAAATCTGTCTCATAATGCAAAAACAAAAATTAAGATAAAATTTTCCCCAGAAATAATATAAATCTCAAAATCGTACGCGTTTTATCTGCTTTCCCGTACACAATCGAGTATTGTTTTCTTATCAAACCCTTTTGGCTTCTGTATATCTTTGAGATAAGCCGAATATGCAGTTGGTGATTAATTCGAAAAATCTTCGAAAAAATGGTCCTATTTAAATGCGAAAAGCACGCAAAATGAACTAGTTAAATTTTATCCCGTAAGTGTAATTATCATGTTCTACACCATTCTAGTGGAAAAGTAAATCAAATTAAATTATTGGGAACTCGTGAGTTTTCTTCTGATTCTAATACAAAATTCATTTGAAATCGCAAAGGTTTTCGAGACACTTGTCTCATCTTCAGACGATGAACATAAATGATGTTGTATTATAACAATTGCCATATGGATACTTGATTTTATGTAAAATTAATCATGGTGCATCCTTAGAAATTCCAAAATGTAAATTATCTTAAATGATTTAAACTTAAAAGCTAACAAACATAAATCGTTATTATTTTTAAATCAAGTGTCTATATGACAATTTATGTAATGCAAATTTATCGCCTGAAAATGAGACAAGTATTTCGGAAATGGTTGGGATTTACAACAAAATTTTCTATTAGAATAAGAAGAAAACCCATGTGCTTTAATTAATTTGATAACTACATACAGTATTCCATCGAACTAATTTAAAATTGTTTGCATTCAATTAACCATCTAGATCAACGGAAAATTTTCCAACATGAATATCCGCGTTGAGCCCGTTCTCATTAGTTTTATATTTTTGACATTGATCCAAGTGTCGGTGAATTGTCAAAAATCACAAACGTGCTGTGAGAAATATTGCTATGAATTCGACAATGTTCGACCACAGGAAGAATTTTTCTCTTCGAAAACTTCCTATTTCATTGGAAAACATGCAGATTTAGGCAAAGACTTTCATGTACCAAGTAAGTTCGACCAAATGCAAGACAATGTTTTTTCTATTTTTATTGTTAATCTAAAGTAAAAATTAACACATATTCGAACGTTCATCGTGATTGTACATACAAAATGTTCGATTTTTTAAACTTTTGGTAAAAAAAATGAGTTGAACTGACCAAATGAATACAGACTTACTGATGGCGACTGCATAATTTTCTTTCAGACTGTACTCCGATCAAAATTTGGCTTTATATAAGACACGGTTCCAGACTACCAAAAAGTAATGTCAACAGTTGAGTAATATCAAGAGAAAAGAAATTAAGTGAAAGTCATTCTTTTTTCAATTTGTAGCCAGAGAAATGAAACGTTTGAGTCAACTGGAAGAGTTGAGAGACGAAATTATTGCAAATTATGAAGAGCGTAACTCACAACCAGTCATTGGTGCCATGTGTAAAAATGATATAGATCTGCTGAAAACATGGCGCTGGGATAGGTATGTAATTTACGCTTATCATACTCTTATCAGATTTTCTCATTCAACTTTATGATGTTGAATTTGACATTTGTGCAAAGACTGGCAAGTGAATGAACCGATTTTTTTTTAAATATTTCAACAGCAATATTACCAGCGAATATAATGAATATCTCACTGTCCAAGGTATGACAATTAGATGATTTTAAGTTGTTCTAACGCGTAGAAAACACGTTTGGAAACGCATTTTCATGTTTCAAAAATTTGTTATTGAGCTCAATTAGATTAATTTAAATTGAATCTTAGGATGGAATGAGGCAAAAATACTTGCACATCGATATCGCAAACATTTCCCGAATATTTTCCAAGACAATTACGACGAAAGCAAGTTCATATTCCGTTATACAGACGTTCACCGTACTGAAGCTTCATTCAAAGCATTCACAGAAGGTAAATTCACTTCAATCATCCACAAAGCGGAACAGAATGAAATTCAATTTTAAATGTTCATTCAGGTCTTTTTGGAGAAAATGCATCCGATTACATTCTAACACCACCGATGGAAGAAAATAAGAAAATGATGATGGTATACACGCTGAATTCCATTTCGGTCTATTTTTTCAAATCGTTTTTTCATCTTTTTTCTTCCATTCTCAGCCGTACAAATTCTGTCCAACCGACAAAGAGGAAACTGCTGGTGAAAATTCGGAATATGGAAAATATTTGAAATCAGAGATCATGAAACAATTGGTATCTGATGTGTCTCAGCGACTTGGTTTCAAAAAACCCCTGGAACTGAGACAAGTGATGGATATGTACGATATGTGCATTTATGACCAATCATTCAATATGAGTGAGTCGAGCCCATGGTGTACGGCATTTACTCCATCACAAATTTACGATCTTGAATATCCTGAGGACCTTCGTAAATATTATGAGAGTGGACATGGACGTGAAGCAAACGCTCGTTTTCTGTGTGAACTTATGAACGATATGCTTGGACATCTAGGAAACAATGAGCAACCAAAGGCTGTCGTATTCTTGTCACACTCATCAAGTTATCTCCTCCTTTTGTCTTCATTGGGAGCATTCAAGGATTCGGAACCACTTCTTGCTGACAATTATCATCGCTTGGCCGATAGAAAGTGGCGCCTGAGCAAAATTGCACGACTTGCATCGAACTTTGCTGCCGTTAAATATTACTGCCCGAACGAAGTTGAAAAACGAAAGGTCAAATTCTTCATTAACGAAGAGCCACTCGAGTTAGAGGGTTGTGATGGGGGAATGTGCGACTGGAACGTAGTCAAAGATCGCTATAAAATTTATTCGGAAGTTGACTGTGACGAATACTACTGCACCAAATCGAAAACTCCAACTGGAGCTGCAGCTGGAAGTGGAACTACAACGGAGTCTGCAGCCAATGTACCATCATCATACATTTTCCTGTTTGTCACTGCTCTTGTCACTTTAGTTGCAACATCTTTTAACGCAATCTTTTAAATTCCATGAAAGTTTCGCAATTCTTCGTTTCATTCAACCTACTCTTTAAGACTCGCCGATACACAAACTTAATTATTGTTATCAACGTATAAACGTGTATTACATATATATTGTAGTTTGTAAAATATTATTCGTGAATAAATGTTCGGAAGTTCAAGCAAATCGTTCTACATTGCAGATGAGTGAGATTGTTTTGTTATCAATCTCGCTCAATTTTCATATTGTCTCTGAGATAAGTAAGGTAAATATTTATTGGGCTCTTCCTGAAATCACTGCGTCATACGGTTTTAGACACGAACGATTAACACATCAGTCGGTTTTCATTATTATACAAAGAAGCGATATTGAGAGATTTTACTATTTACCAGGGAAGAAGTACAAGAGACATCCTTTTGCGCCATTCATCGCTCGCTGCTTGGCTTTGGCATTGACCTAAATAGGTTTTTTAAATGGACGGTATCCAATTGGAATTCCACCTGATTAAAGTTTTTTGACACAGACTTTTACAATGATTTAATTATGCAAAACAGGAAGATATTCATTGAAGCGTAATTTTTTCCATAGTGGGAATAAATCTGACGATTTATTCAAAAAAGAGCGGACTTTCTGGAGGGAAATCATTTCCCAATGTGGTAGTAGCTTACTATGGAATTGCGAACGAAATTTAGTTTGAAATTTTTTATTATTGAATTAACGATCAAATGTTGCCTAGATGGATGAGTGTTTTTTTGTTATCAATCTGGCTCAATTTGAATATTGTCTCTGCGATAAGCAAGGTAAATATTAATTGAGTTCTTGTTGAAACCACTGCCTCATGCCATTAGAGAAAAGACGAAAAACACGTCAGTCGTTTCTCGAGATCATAACAAACAATAGACCAAAGACAAAAGATGTATATTTTCCAGCCATTCATCGCTGGCTGTTTAGTTTTTACATTGACCACAGTAGTTTTTGTGAATGGTCACAGTGTAGATGGATACTGTCACGAATACTGTTATAGTTTGGATCACATACGACCACAAACAGACTATTTTTCATCGAAAACATCTTATTTTGTATCGAAGCGCCAATACGTGGGTAAACACTTCATAATACCAAGTAAGTAATTTTCCACTGAAACAAAACAACAGATAACATCTCAACACAGGGAGTTAGCAAGACGTCCGTTATATAGTTTTTGACTTCGATTTCGAGGAGGAAGAGAGATGGATATATACAACTTGTATTCACCATCTCTTTCGATGAAAGTTCAAAACCTTATAACATGCGAATTTTTTCATGTATCCAACAGATACAGAAATGGAAATGTACGAATTAAACCGTTTGATATGCGCAAATTAAAATTGGTTCTTGTTTTCAGATTGTAGTCCAGTTAAAATTTGGTTATATATTCGACATGGAGCTCGTTTGCCAAAAGGTTTCTAACATTCATTTGATTATCATTATTCAAAGCAATTAGAGTGAATGAAATCTCGTTTTTTTTTAGCCAAAGAAATGAAGCACTTGAGACAGTTGGAAAAGTTAAGAGATGAAATTCTTGCGAATCATGAAAAAAATAATTCAACGCTAGCGTTCAGTGAAATGTGTAGACCAGATTTAAAATTATTAAAAGAATGGAACTGGGATCGGTGTGTATAATGTGTGCTTACACGAATCTAAAATTTAAATGATAATGCAAATCCAAATCTTTGTGGCATTGACTACGTAACTACTACGTTTCTCTTTTCTCTTAGAAATATAACGGAGAAATACGATGAATTTCTCACGGAGCAAGGTAATTAAAGAAAACTAACATTTAACCGTAATACCAATGGATTACCGCAATTATAGCTCAAATTTTGTTTACCCATTCAATTAAAATTGTTTCCATTATAGGATGGAATGACATTAAAACCATTGCAAAGCGATATAAGCAGCTGTTTCCGAACATTTTCGAAGACACATACGACGAGGAAAAGTTTTCATTCCGCTATACAGACGTGCATCGTACAGAGGCTAGCTATAGAGCATTTGTTGAAGGTTATTCTCCTTTTATTATTTCATTTCTAAGGCAATGCAACAATTTGTATTACTTTCATTTAGGTTTATTCGGTCTTGATGCACACGAGTACATCCACGTGCCGCCACACCAAGAAAATATCAAACTTCTGAAAGTATGAACAACAATTTGACCCTCAAGTGTTTGCCAATTGAATTAATTTATCAATTTATGGTCTAATAAACGGTTTCTCCTCTTCGTAGCCGTACAAGTTTTGTCCAACCGATGAAGAGGAAATTACGGGAAAGGATTCTGAATATAGAAAATATTTGAAATCAAAAACAATATCGCAATTGGTCATGGATGTTTCGAAACGTCTTGGATTTGAATGTCCATTGAAAATGAGACAAGTGTTAAGTATGTACGATATGTGTGTATATGAGCAGGCATGGAATTTAAGTGATTCCAGTCCATGGTGTGCAGCATTCACTCCATCACAATTCTACGATCTTGAATATCCCGAAGATCTTCGTAAATACTATGAAAGTGGCCATGGACGTGAAGCAAATTCCCGATTTTTGTGTGCACTTGTCAACGATTTGCTCGCTCATCTTGGGAATGACGATCAGCCAAAGGCCGTCGCATATGTAACACACTCATCTAGTTTGTTGCTCCTGTTGACATCACTGGGAGTATTCAATGATTCCGAACCACTTCGAGCGGATAGCTATCATCGCCTTTCCGATCGGAAATGGCGCCTTAGCAAAATTGCACCATTTGCATCAAATTTTGCCGCCGTTAAATATGACTGCCCAAATGATATTGAGAGTGAAAAAGTGAAATTTTTTATTAACGAAGAACCAATCGACTTTGAATGGTGCGATGCCGGTTTATGCGATTGGAGCGCTGTAAAAGAGCGATACAAGAAATACACCGAAGTTAATTGTGATGAATATTTCTGCAGTGGTACTAGTAAATCTAGCGTGTTTTCGATATTTCTTATAACACTCGCCACTTTAGCAGCCATAAGTCTTTTGTTCAACAAGTAAATGGTTCGACTGTTAAAATAGTAAATAAAGGAATCTTCCGCTTGCCATCTCGTGATATTTGTTCACGTGATAAATATGCGTTCAACTTTTAAACGCAACGTTTGAAAGTATTCCATTGTTGACACATGGAATTGTACACTTGTTAGTATTTTCGGTCTATTTTGATAATGAAGAATGAGACCAAAAACTTATTTATTCAATAGAGTAATATGCCTGGAGTTTGAATGTTTTTGATGAATAAAATTATTGTTTTGAATAAAAGATAGTTTTTGTGTTTGGGTTGTCTTTGTCACTTTATATTTTTTGTTTCCAGTTTTTAAATGAATAGAGCAGTTGACGTTATTTGTCAAAGTATATAATTTGCCTAATACCAAATGAGAAGAAAAAAACATTTTTATATTAAAAGCATCAGGCAGCAAAGTTGCTCCATCCAGGTATGTATGTGACCAATCAATACGAAATCGACCTACATTTACACTCTTTTTTGCAATCAATAAACATAGTCTTTATTTTGTCTGAATGCCAATTTTTTTCTAACAAAAACCAGTTGAACACAACAAAATAATTTTTTTCTTCAAAAAACACACAAAAAATTCCATATAATCACATTTGGGAGGAAGGTAAAATAATAGTTTGAAATTGTACACGGGAATGTACACAAACAAAGCTGGCATTTGTAAGTAACTTATATTTAATTTACAAATTCAATCGAGATTTTCTGATACAGTAGTTCATGTAGTAATTTCTCCAGATTTTCTATTAAACAAACACTAACGGTAGGGCACTGTGGTAATTAAGTAGATTTAAGTAGAATTTAAATTAAACAAAAATTAATTTTTATAAACTTTGATGCGCCCCTCAATGGATGGATAAATAACAGGAGAGTTTTGAATGTATTTCTGCACAGCATCCTGAACCGTTGTATTCAAGTAAGTTGCTTTGAGATCCTGTTAAATAAAAGGATATTAATTGAATGCTAGTTGATTGAAATTTATTCTTCAATTTAGATAAATTAATCCGAAGCTTTAATTTCTCAATGGGATGAATTTGAAGCATCAAGAAAACGCCATGAACTCAAGAATTCTTGATTTTTTTTCATTCGAAACGAACTTACTTTAAACATAGTAAATCCGTCACCTCCATCGTATAAAAATGATGATATAATAATGCCGTATTGACGATTCGGATCGAGATTCTCATATAATGGAACTAAACAAGTTGAGCATAGAACGTTCGCTGATACGACACGATTTCCCGATGGATTCGAAATATTATAAACGACATGCATCCCGGATAATTGCAAAAACTCGCCCGGAGGACCATATTCAATGTATCTTCGCACAGAGTGTTCAAGCACTTGTTGTAGTACACGTCCCGTAATATTAACCGCGATCAATTGATTTTCAAACGGAATAATTGTTTCCAAATCGAATCGTGTTATTTTCCCGATTTTTCCCGATGCACGAATATCTCCACTGGCCATTATGGCAATGGGAGCGTCTGTTAAATCAGTACCATTGTACTGTCTTATCCTTGTATTGACAAATGCATCTGAAATGAAATTGCCAATGTTGCATTCGTTCGTACGGCATTTGGAACCATCTAGACGCACTTTTGTGATGCCAATCACTTTTTCGGTGATTTCGTTTACTTGAGGACGGTAAACATCCTCTAGTGCGGCAACTTCTGGATCGCGTGGAATGCTGTCATCAAGTAAAATTGGTTGACCGCTCCAATGAAGAAGGTTTCCATCCGCGTCAAACTGAAATGAAACTTGGAAAATTAGCATTAGGACGTTTGGCAACTTCACCATATGAACTCACATTCAATCTCAGTGCACCAATGTATTTAGTAAATGCTATGCGAATAAATAAAGAAAAAGCAAATCAACGTACCGTGTACATTATTCAGATAAAAAAGTGTTCGTAAAGTCATACACAAGGAAATGTTCAGGTCAAGTATCAATTGAGGTAAAGTCATTGAAAAAAGTCTTAAGAGCTATCCCAAGCCCGAACATATGGCTTTTGTTGTTTGCCTGAACAAAAGTGTTTATCATCCAAATACCAAAAAAACTTTAACATAATCTTTCTTCTCATATCCATCAGCTTGTGTAGCTCTTTATTATAATAATAATTACCATACGCCTGAACGACTGGAACTTCTTTTCCGCTACTTTGTGTGACAATCGTTGGATAAGGACCTTCACTCACTTCTGTATCTGGCTGTTGACCAGAGTATAAAAAGGAATGCGAATGCCCGCCCACAACAACATCGACCAAAGGACAACTTTTGGCTATTTCCTGATCAACAACATAACCAGAATGACCCAAAGCTATGATTATCTTGACACCTTTTTCTTTTAGTAAACCGGCTTCTTTGCTGTAAACAAAAAAATTAAAGTCGGCGCAAAAAATTTACTTTTTTCAGTTGAATATTCACTTGATAGCAGTTATTTCCGGAACGAATTCCACATCACTTTTCATTGTCAACTCCTTTGTTTCGGGTGTAAGATAACCAATAACACCGATCTTGAAGCCTTTTACGTCTAAAACAATGGATTTCTTGAGGGAACCGGTTTGCCATAATGGATGGTTAGGCGCGTTATCTATATTCGCGGTAAGTACTGGAAATTGGACTGCCTTCAAAAAAGGAACCAAACTATCTACACCTTTATCAAGCTCATGATTGCCGAGACTCTGCGAAAAGAAAAATTCAATTAAGAATTAAAACAAATGATGTAGAGAATTTGAACAATGGAAAATATTTTTAAAAATGAAAAGAACATCAAGTTTGATCTCGGGTAGATTATTTTTTGCAATGATTCAATGGCCATTATAATTCACTAATTATTAATAGTGGAGTCACTTTAATTTTATAGAGGGCTTAAGAATCGCACATTCAGTTCACAATACAACTCATTTCAATGAGAGCCACAGCGCTCGTGTGCGATGCTTTCCTCAAACAAACTGAGTTGTGTGCGGACACCGCTCACTTACTTTTCCTTTGCTTCTCCTTTGCTTCTCCTTTGCTTTCTCCGGATCTTCGTTCGGCCGGAAAAATAAGAAGAAGAAGAAGTAGTAGTAGGTTCAACATAGCCGAAATATAGGCACGAACATGTTTTTTTGTTCTATTCTGCGTGTCTGCTGTGAGTATTTGAGCGCACATTTAACGAACAGTGGAAAACTCATTTTTATTTGAATATTTGTGAACTGTTCGTGGTACACGCACACGCCATCGTGACGCATTGCGCTACTCACATGGTCCACTCAGTGCAATTATTAAGCCCTGATTTTATTCGAGGGGATTATTTGTCGTCGTGAGTCAGAAAAGCCTCGCATATTTCCTGTATCTCATAGAAATCTAAACACGAGTCACTGCAAAATAACACAGAAATGATGACTCGTAAATTTTCATGCAAATTCGCAATACTTTTGCGGCTGCTTTAAATTTATCTACTGACTTTTAGGTTTTGCACTGTCATAAGCCAAAATTCATTGACACAAGCTGTCACACTGTTTTGTTAATCATCCGAAAAAAAATCCTAAATGGATAAGAGTTATTAATCACGCCAACCGTCCACATCTCGATCGCAATGAATTTTGGCTTGGATTTAAAGCGAAAGTGTTGATACATACCATTGCATCTGGCCGCAGAATGTTCATAAAATCCGCACAAACTTTGTGTTTAAATACAGAAAACCACGGCGTCCCTACGTAAGTATCACCGGCATTCAAATATAAAACAGCAGGCCCACCATTTTTGGCTTCTTCCCGATACTTTTTAACTACATGCGATACACGTGCAAAACCACCGTAACATTTCTTTGCTGCAGCATCTTCTGCTGAACATTTTCCGGACGATCTATCCGTCTGCTCGAAGCGAGAGTGCATATCATTGTTGTGCAGTATTATAAAATCCAATGCTGGATTTTGTTCTATTGGCCCTGTCCATGCCAAATCCACTGATAATGCGATGACATACAGAATTATCGAGAACGAGCAAGCTTTAACGTGTAACATACTACTCATATTATACGTATCACAATAGGTCACGACTTTAAGAAATACGGAAAACAAATCAATTCAATCACTTAATTACTCAGAGATGACGCGATTTTGATAATCGTAATTCTGTTAAAATCATTAAAAAAAACGTAGGTTAAAGTACTTCTTCTGAAATAATCGTACACTAAAAAAAACCTAACCTCTTAATCTCTAGTTATTCCCGTTATGTCATACGCGATTGACAAATAAAGCGAACAGACTGAAAACATTAACAAATGTAAATAATAGCAAAACTTGATAAATTGGCTAGTAAAAAAAAACGTTGAATGAATGATTGTGTATGTCGAGAATTCCAAGCAAATTCGTCTTTCGCGTTTGTTCATTCACCAATTTTGAAATAAATACACTCGATTCGATTGTTCAAACTTGAAACTTAGACATTTTTCTATTAATTTCATGAATGAAATTAACTCGTTGAATAAATTGATGACTTGATGAGTGTGAATACTGCGAATTTTCGACTGACGATCTTCACTTCTTCACTCTTTGAGTGCGACTAAAGGCGTCATGCGTTTGCTTGTTGATATTTATTATCCCCATTCACTATGAATATAATTGTTCATTGAATATTCATATCATCTTCATGTGTCTCCATGTGATTGTGGCTTTATTGCGAATAAGTAAGCTGATAAAAATGAAGCAAGCCGAGTTCGATTAGAATATTGCTTACTAATTAACAATTGACTTGATAAGAAGCATCTGCGATAAATTGCAACGACACAACGCTGTATTTGGGGAAGAACGGTATGACGAGGTGTCGAATGAGCGTCGTACATGTGTATTATTTGCCTTTTGTACTATAACGAACTGTGTGTGATGAAGCGTCGCGCTCATGTAGTAGTATCGTTCTGCCTTACAATGTACTTGTACATACCGAGCGTTAGACCAACCGTTCTTAATGTCGACGCCAACTATGCTTGAGTGCATATTTTCTGTCGAGTTTTATCTTAATTATAATCATGATTTTCTTAACAAAAATGTCTGAATGTTATAACATTCTGATTGTATATGTGAACTACGAATCAAATCTGAGTCTATGGTGAAAACAATGAAATTTCTCTAAATTCGAAGAAAAAAAACTTTCAGTGTGCGACAAGGTCTAAGGCAGCGAAACAAAATCAAATGATGATTCAAAAACTATAAGCCTGCTCCACGAGGCGAGCGTTTAGTTCAATTGTTGACACGTAGATGTCGCTATGTCAGACGCTAGAACACAACAATATCATTCAAACACAAAAGACTATTGGAATGAGTGCAATTTTGAATTTCATTTGTGATTTGAATGAACAAACCGACGTGCTCATCATGTGAAATGGAATTTTATGCTTCAATTCAAATAAGTTGAGAAAACAAAAGCCCATTCAAAAGATCCACAATCAAGATGTTAAATCGAGTCGTCAATGTTAAAATTCAGAATAGGAAAAAATAAAAATGTGCAAATAAATTCTGGTTTGGAATTTAGTTGAAGCATCTTTGGAATCCAGTTAATTAGAAATGCAATAGAATGAAGTAATCAAAACAAACGTAAAAAAGGTGTAGTTGAATGCACCGTCATCGTTACAGAGCACGTTGTTTTCTAAATTATTATTGCCTCTACGTGTGTGTGTGTGTGTGTGTGTGTGTATGTATGTGTTGTTTACATCGTCTCAATCGGAAATTGAAATAGAACGAGAAAGAGAATTGAAATACAACGAATGTTACTTTGATGCATCGTGAACTTTCCCATCGTGCTGCTGGTATACCGTACACACCGCATGGGATGCATATATAGTAGTAAATCTATTTGAGCGTATCCAGAACGTACGAGAAAAAAAAGTGCATTGTATGTTTTCGACGCAGTCCACATTGCCGTAGAAGAAGCATGGTAGCCTCGTGTTTTATTTACTCTGCCTTTCGGGGTTTTCGTAGTAAACATGCAACGAACGTGAACGCAGCAAAAGCAACAGCAGCAGCAGAATCGAGGCAACACCATAGCAGCACACGTGTGTACGTGTTTGCCTGTGCTGGTGTGTTTTGACGACGCATTTCGCTCGGCCAAACGAAATGTTTACAAAATAAATGCATTGCGCGCGTAATGCGGTACAATGGATTCCGTGTATACATGTATGTCGTTTAGCTCCGTCTCTGTCTCTGTGTGTCTGCCTTGTTTCGCGATTCCATGCGGTTGATGAGCTAGTGTGTTGTGGTGGCCCACCGAATCGATGTGGAAATGACTATATCGCATACACAATATAAGATAGTAACAGTGGATGTATGGCACGCGTGGTATGCAGCGTGATATGCGCTTGAAAACAACTCATTGCTCTCACTCTCACTCCATGCGCCACATATATTCATCATCAATGTGTGCTTTCGTGCACGTCCATGTGGCCATATCGAACCACGCGCGCGTTCCCATCTCCCTCTATATCTCTCGCTACGTGTGTATGTGTATACATGTAACGGCTGCATGTGGTGGAATACTACAAAGTTTATATTTTGATATCGATTATGAATGAAAAATTTTATAGTAATTTGAAGAGTTGATATGTTAACGCGCGTACGCTTCGAGCGGCCGTGCATTGGGCATGCCGAATGAAAAATATAAGGCACATCGACGCAATACAAAATAACAACACAATTGGAATGTATAATGC